TAACCCCCTGGTGTAGGTCGCTAACCATCTGGTGTAGGTCGCTAACCCCCTGGTGTTGGTCGCTAACCCCCTGGTGTAGGTCGCTAACCCCCTGGTGTAGGTCGCTAACCCCCTGGTGTAGGTCGCTAACCCCCTGGTGTAGGTCACTAACCCCCTGGTGTAGGTCGCTAACCATCTGGTGTAGGTCGCTAACCCCCTGGTGTAGGTCGCTAACCCCCTGGTGTAGGTCGCTAACCCCCTGGTGTAGGTCGCTAACCCCCTGGTGTAGGTCGCTAACCCCCTGGTGTAGGTCACTAACCCCCTGGTGTAGGTCACTAACCATCTGGTGTAGGTCGCTAACCCCCTGGTGTAGGTCGCTAACCCCCTGGTGTAGGTCACTAACCTCCTGGTGTAGGTCGCTAACCCCCTGGTGTAGGTCACTAACCCCCTGGTGTAGGTCGCTAACCCCCTGGTGTAGGTCGCTAACCTCCTGGTGTAGGTCGCTAACCCCCTGGTGTAGGTCGCTAACCCCCTGGTGTAGGTCGCTAACCCCCTGGTGTAGGTCGCTAACCCCCTGGTGTAGGTCGCTAACCCCCTGGTGTAGGTCGCTAACCCCCTGGTGTAGGTCGCTAACCCCCTGGTGTAGGTCGCTAACCCCCTGGTGTAGGTCGCTAACCCCCTGGTGTAGGTCACTAACCCCCTGGTGTAGGTCACTAACCATCTGGTGTAGGTCGCTAACCCCCTGGTGTAGGTCGCTAACCCCCTGGTGTAGGTCACTAACCTCCTGGTGTAGGTCGCTAACCCCCTGGTGTAGGTCACTAACCCCCTGGTGTAGGTCGCTAACCCCCTGGTGTAGGTCGCTAACCCCCTGGTGTAGGTCGCTAACCCCCTGGTGTAGGTCGCTAACCCCCTGGTGTAGGTCGCGGCCCCCACCATCAATCCGTTTAGATTAATTTCCCTAGAGGAAGGCAGTCATATCCGAATATTTTACCACTATCCACTAACATATTAACATATTAATGAACCATCGAGTAGCAGCATGGTATTAATACACTATAATACAGCTGCAGAGTGTGCTGGTGTTGCCACCATCCCTGGCAACACCATGTGACAACACACACACAACACAGACATGTGGCAGAAGCGAGCTCTTCCAACTGAATTAGTTTGGTGAAAGGTTTATGCATTAGAAACGCAAACTTATTCACTGCAACATGAGAAGAAAAATGTTGCTAATCATGGAAAATTCAAACATTCCATGTAAAATAATTAATAAGTAAATTACATACATTTACTTGATGTTGTAGCTGAGTTTTCCGCGTGAGGAAAATTTTGATTCAGACGTGAGAAGACTAGCATGACCTGAGGCGTGTAATGGAGGGTTTCCTAGGGCAGGGTCAAAGGGGGTAGCGTCACTACGTTTGTAGGATACGCCTGGATAACCCAATACCTTACCTTCTTTCCGCCCCTCTGTCGACCTCTGTGTCTCCCCGTCCCTCGATCTCTGTGTCTCTTAGTCTCTCTCTCTCTGTATCTCTATTAATATACCGAGGAAGAGCTAGTGAGGCAAGAGGAACACATTCCCCCTGACAAGTGACGGTCACACACAACAATCACAAACACACACACAGTATTCGTAGCCATTTGGGGAGACCCGTCAAACACCACCCATATGACATAAACATTAGTTGGAACTCATCAACAAATCCACGCTGAAGCCACACAAGCAACATGAACCAGTCAAGCACAAGCTGCACACAGATCCATCTGAGCTAAGGAAGGTCTGTGCCCAGCCCTGCGAACACTCTCAAGAGTGAGGCATAAGCCTTGTATTATCCATCAGTGCCACGAGCCTGGCGAGAAGAACCGGTGCCACCAGGGCCGTCATTAGTGCCTCTCAACGAGGTGCCGAGAGGAGGCTCAGATGAGGCTTCTGGTAGTTAGTCTCGTCATTTACCAGAGATACAAATGAAACAGATGACTGGAAATTAAGCTTCGTAGCCTCTTGTGTTTATCCGTTTCTCTCTTGCTTGCGTTTCTGGCATTGTGCCTCTCTGTTCCTTAATCTCTTGCTCTCGCCTTCAAATTAAAACTCTTCAGAATAACAGTTTTCATTCATATGAAGGATAATTTATATAAATTATACTAATTCAATAAAACCGTCACAGAGGACTTGTGTTTTCTGCAGTATGTAATATTTCTGTATATTGTTTAACGTAGATCACCTATTGACGCTTAGAGTCAAGGAACATGAAAAAGAAAAGATAACGGAACAAATTTCTTTTCCTTCAACCCATTTAAACATTGGGTCTATTGGAACTCATGAAGCCTGTCAGTGAGTCTACAGGAGCGAGCACAACATGAGCACCGACACAGCGGACGCACTGAAGCGAGCACAACATGAGCACCGACACAGCGGACGCACTGAAGCGAGCACATGTGTACCGACACAGCGGACGCACTGAAGCGAGCACATGTGTACCGACACAGCGGACGCACTGAAGCGAGCACAACATGAGCACCGACACAGCGGACGCACTGAAGCGAGCACAACATGAGCACCGACACAGCGGACGCACTGAAGCGAGCACAACATGAGCACCGACACAGCGGACGCACTGAAGCGAGCACAACATGAGCACCGACACAGTGGACGCACTGAAGCGAGCACAACATGAGCACCGACACAGTGGACGCACTGAAGCGAGCACAACTTCGTATGCCATGCCATCACTGGACGTATCATACCTCCATTTATCTAATTAGTATACCATTAAGGTCTGCACGGTAATTCAATGCCGCGTGAATACAAATTATCAAACATATAGTGACGTTGAATGTATCTCTCCGCACCAATGCTCGCCTCGCTATTGGGAGACTGACGCGTAGATATGATTTAATTGGAATTAAGTTGATGCCTCGCAGTGTACTCCTCAGGGCAGTGATGGTATACGGGAGTTTTGTTGTAACAGTTTAAACTGTGGCGTTTCACTCTTGCAGCCTGGACTACCTTCCGTTATTGGAAAGGAAAGGAAATTATGAGAAGAAAGTGCTTACATTTTAAACGTGAGGCGATACAAAAGGCAACAATAGAACCAATAACGCCGTTCACAACGTTAACAAAGATTAGAAAATAGTCTTAACAACTCTACACTATACAATTTCCTGTCCATCCCTTCACTGTAAAACGGTAACTGTTCATCGCTTCACTAAAAAATATTCACTTAGTTTCTAAAATCATTTTTTCAAGCTAAGACCTCTACCCCTCTCAGCATATTTTAAAGCATATTCTAAAAGAAATAGCAGTAGGCCTATTGGTCCACACGAGACAGCTTCTATTTATATCCACCCAAACTCCTCCTTTATATGTCTATCCTGCGCTTGAAACAATCCAGAGATCCTACGTCTATTACGTTACACGGTTATTTGTTCCGTAAATCAACAACCTTATATCTAAAAGAGTATTTACTCAGGACTTTCCTCATTCTAAACTTATCTAATTTATAAGAAAGTCTGTGATCACGTTATTACGATCTTGTTGCGCATTTGACAGGAGCGTTTGGTGGAGAAATGTATTGTTGACACCAGAGTGACTGCAGGATACAGGTAAAACTTGGATTGGGTACCAGCATGGTGCGTCCAAATTGCTAGTGGGTTCGGGCGGACTTCAGATTGTTTAACTTTTCAGCAAATCGTGGTATATGGTCACCCTGCATCTGGGGTGACCCAGGCTCGTCCTGCTCCTCAAAGGTATATCTCTTTACTGTGACTTCATTACCTATATTCTATTTTATATTCATTGTTTTGTGTTGCATTCTGTGTTGATTTAACACCTCGTTAATGTCCCTCATGCTATACCCGTCCATCTGGTAGCGTGATTCAATCACGTCTTCTATGGCTGCGGTACAGGTCTCTATTGGAACGTTTGGATATGCAACAATTACCTGTAGAACTCGCGGTGCATCTCTCTATTGTAAACATTATTGTGTAGACATAAAGCTTTCAAATTATGGTACAAGAGATATCTTGTCATTTTCCAGCTCGTAGTAACCCGAGAGAAAATCTTTACCGCCAGACAACCTGCTTCAAGAGTCTATACAAAATCTCTGTTGACTTCTTATCATGACGTACATAATTGCCTTCATTTTATGTTCTTTCTTTTGAGAAGACAGTAATTGTGTACAATTACTTCCTGTCTTGGAGTCAAAACCCTTCCCTCAGATACAAGTTTTTTTTTTTTTTTTTTTTTTAATGCGTGGCACAAAGGTCCGTATCGTAAATATAATGTGCACTCGACGCTGTGAATATATCTTACTGAGCATCACGTAACCACCTTCCCCTCCATGAACTCACCAACTACCATATTGATTAAAGGAAAGCCCCCCCCCCCACACACACACACACACACAGATTGTGAGTCAGCACATTAGACAAACGTCCCCACAAAAGGGGGGGGAGGGGACGGTCCAAGAAATACTCTTGCCGGCACAAATAGTAAATAGAGTAAATACACTCACAAAAACGTACACAAAATAACCCCAAACACCCACATGCGGTCATCAACATGTAAATAGGGGTCAAGAATAACTGTAAGGTGCTGTGAAGGGGACCTAATGAAGCTACAAGCGCAGTTAGATAAATGGTTATTAGAGGTAAACCCCTGCAAATGCATAGTTATGAGACACGAGGCAGATCGAAGGAAGAAACAGAGCAGCAATATTTCTCTTTCATTGTAAACTAGTGTTTCCTTACGCCATATTTCTGACAGTTTATCAGCGTTGAATTATGTAACTGAAGTTCATACACTGCGAATGTCTGTTTCAATGTATGTATTGCACATTTATTTGCATTTAGTCTCAATAATTTCTTGTTTCTATTAAAGCTGCAGAATAAGCAATTCACAGCTGTGCTCCCATCTCACTCTGAAGAAGTACTGTAATTGATGATTGTAATGACAGGATAGTACGCCTTATTACCCGTTTTCTTTAAAAGTAACGTTGTCTTTTTGGTTTTCTTTCCAGTGAGGAAGGAGAACTTAGAAATCCTGCGGGAGCTGCAGGCGGCCTCCTCGGGGGGCAACACAAGCATCACCACCGTGTCGCCCACCAGCACCTCCCCGGGGCACACCAGCACCTCCCCGGAGCACACCAGCACCTCCACGGGGCACACCACCACCACCTGAACCACCTCTCCCACTCACTCGGTCTCCAGCTAGCCCACTCACCCGGTCTCCAAAACATTGGGAGTGTGTGCGCGCGTGTGTGTGTGTGTGTGTGTGTGTGTGTGTGTATGTGTATGTGTATGTGTGTATGTGTGTGTGTGTGTGTGTGTGTGTGTGTGTGTGTGTGTGTGTGTGTGTGTGTGTGTGTGTGTCTGTGTGTGTGTCTGTGTGTGTCTGTGTGTGTGTCTGTGTGTGTCTGTGTGTGTGTGTGTGTGTGTGTGTGTGTGTGTGTGTGTGTGTGTGTGTGTGTGTGTGTGTCTGTGTGTGTCTGTGTGTGTCTGTGTGTCTGTGTGTGTCTGTGTGTGTCTGTGTGTGTGTGTGTGTCTGTGTGTGTGCGTGTGCGTGAGCGTGTGTGTGTGAACCCCAGAGTGTTGGGCTTCCAGCACAGGGACGCATTACTACGACCTCCTCCTGTTCCCAACTCAAGATCACACACCTACCTCACCAATCCTGGGTGTGTTGTGCGCGTCTCCAACGCGACCGCCTGGTGAGGTCCCGAGGGACCGCCGGGTGAGGACCCGAGGGACCGCCGGGTGAGGACCCGAGTGGCAATAATACGGTGATAGTATGACAGTACGTCACAATGACGGGGATGCTGCAGTTACATTGTTACGACGACCCAGAACGACCCAAGAGGCAGCGTATAGACCTATCCTGCTTTAGACCAGCAAGCGCTCCCTGCTGTCAGAACTATACATGTGGTGTCGCCAAAAAAATAAAAAAAAAAAAAATAAAAAAAAATAAAAATACAATCCCTCCCCTCCTCTTGTTGTTGGTATAAAATTATTATCTACTGTATATAAATGTATCAAAAGTATAATACAACAAAAATGGTGGTAGTCTTTAGGACATATAGGTATACATGTTATTGAAGATTAAAATAAACGTATGTTGTTTAAACATATAATGTTGCACGGTGTTCAGGCCAGCAGGTCACTTTAATGTATTATTTTATTATAATAAAAACAATGAAAATTAATATCAATGATCAATTTATCGTTAAGTATAATTATTATTTAGATAACATTTCTAGCGAAAACAATTATCATTGATATAATTTGTGTGAGTGCCAATCAAATATAGTAAATATATATATTAGCTGTAATACAAGTGCCAGATGTATTTATTTGTATCCAAGGCAATAATTACAGCTTAAGGGAGGCTTAAACCACCTCTTGGGGAGAACAGTACATTGTTCGGTTTACTGTAATTTATACTGATGTAAACTGTTGCTGCAAACAGTCAAGGTCATTTACAAACATAATTTCTATTGTTTACTAAGTGATGTTATCACTTACGTACTTTGAATTTTATTGTTTACAAAATGTACGGTGCTGTTTATAAAAAAAAAAATATGCAACGATTTGTGAACCCGAGTACGATATTGCAATCAAATATGTATATGTTTATTTAGATTTGCCTCCGAGTATGTAAGATTTAGTTTTACAGTATTGAACACCCTTCAACACGTGCTCGTTCTGTTTGACACCTGTTGATGGTACAGAGGTTTAATAAGGCAAGTGTTTGCTGTTGTTTACACAGGTCTAGAACTGTTTTATTATGCTGTATTTTATAAAATGTTTAAGAAATATATATATATATATATATATATATATATATATATATATATATATATATATATATATATATATATATATATATATATATATATATATATATATATATATATATTATATGGCGAATCTAATAGCCAGAGTTGTCTAACAAGTCCTAATTTTATTAAATATTTATTTTTCCAAAATTTGCTTTAATGGAATGATTACAGCCGTAGCTGTTAGGCAAAAGTGGCCGTCCTTACCAGGTGAAGCAATGCGGCTCTGGCTATTAGATACATCACATACATTACAATATACAAAGTGTGTTTATGACTGACAAAAGCAACACGTTTGAAGCAACAAGTAGCGTTGTGGCTGCTGCTGCTGCTGCTGCTGCTGCTCACATAAACACGATTACAATCAACAGCAACTTGACAATATATATTGATTGGCAATTAGGACTCGAGTTGCATCATCAAATACTGTAGTAGCAGACACGGTGTAGCCACTTTAGACTGTGATAGGTGTGTGGTAGTGATGGCGTATACTTATATAGTGTGGGCCAGGAGCTAGACTAGTGCTAGAGCTGAAGGTTGCACGCATTTAAAACAAAAACAAAAATAAAGATTAGAATAGCAGAGAGCAGAGAGTAGAGAGGTCAAAGTCGTGGTGCAAGCAATGTCAGAGTCTTTTCTCTTGTCAGGAAAGTCTAAGACTTTCCTTCCTAAGAAGTTACACCGGGGAGGCGATTATACATAAGGAGAGGCACAAAGAGAGAGAGAGAGAGAGAGAGAGAGAGAGAGAGAGAGAGAGAGAGAGAGAGAGAGAGAGAGAGAGAGAGAGAGAGAGAGAGAGAGAGAGTGTGTGCACGTGTGCTCGAGTGTAAGAATCAACGAGTGCATGAAAAAATAATAATTAATAATTATTATTATTACCTCCCATCACTAAATCTTATGTCATCGGCAATGTTACATTAACTGGTGTGTTAAGGGGCTCGGATACGCCATTAAAAAATATAACATTTTGTCTTGTACCTAAAAATAAAGCTTCTAAACGCAGATAATATATATATATATATATATATATATATATATATATATATATATATATATATAATATATATATAATATATATATATAATATATATATGTCGTACCTAGTAGCCAGAACGCACTTCTCAGCCTACTATGCAGGGCCCGATTTGCCTAATAAGCCAAGTTTTCCTGAATTAATATATTTTCTCTCATTTTTTTCTTATGAAATGATAAAGCTACCCATTTCATTATGTATGTCAATTTTTTTTATTGGAGTTAAAATTAACGAAGATATATGACCGAACCTAACCAACCCTACCTAACCTAACCTAACCTATCTTTATAGGTTAAGTTAGGTAGCCGAAAAAGTTAGGTTAAGTTAAGTTAGGTTAGGTTAGGTTAGGTAGGTTAGGTAGTCGAAAAAAACAATAATTCATGAAAACTTGGCTTATTAGGCAAATCGGGCCTTGCATAGTAGGCTGAGAAGTGCGTTCTGGCTACTAGGTACGACATATATATATATATATATATATATATATATATATATATATATATAAAGACTTTTTTATATGGAAGAATCAGTAGTCGTGACAAATTATTGAATAATGAAATCATGTATATTACACATTCCTGTGAGTCCGGACCTTGAGAGTAATAAAAATTGATGAAGATGAATATATAAAAATGAGTAAAGCACATGATAAGAGAGATATTAAATAGACAATAAACATGAATGTGTTTTTCTTCCACCTTCACTCTTATTATATATTATTTTGCTCTTTCCAATGTATTCAGCATTTGTGGCACGAGAATATTGACCAGAGGTCAAGGGTCACCTGCAGGTGTGGGGAGAGGCAGAGGTCAGAGGTCACCTGCAGGTGTGTGGGAAGAGGCAGAGGTCAGGGTCACGTGCAGGTGTGTGGGGAGAGGCAGAGGTCAGGGTCACGTGCAGGTGTAGGGAGAGGCAGAGGTCAGGGGTCACGTGCAGGTGTGTGGGGAGAGGCAGAGGTCAGGGGTCACGTGCAGGTGTGTGGGGAGAGGCAGAGGTCAGGGGTCACGTGTGACACATAAACACAAGGGATACATAAACACAAGGGATACATAAACACAAGGGATACATAAACACAAGGGATACATAAACACAAGGGATACATAAACACAAGGGATACATAAACACAAGGGATACAAGAACACAAGGCCTGTGGGCCCACGGTTGGAAGCCACCACAAATACCTTTCAAGAGAATGTTAATTAAAGTTTGTTAATCGCTCGTCATAAGTAAGACTTGACATTCTTGGCGTGCCTCCCTGCACACGTCCAAGTGAACTTGTGTTCACGCTCAAGTATGGTGACCAAATGGGTCTAATAAGGACAAGATGACGCAGAAAAATCATCAAATGATTTATTGCTAACTTCTTAAAATGACTCTCAATATCCTATTTATTTTATTTCGGGCATTTTTTTTTTTTGTAGGGAGGGGTGGGGAGGGTAAGATCTCTACTAATTGATAATTTGAATATTGATCAACTTCAAAAGTAATTTCAATGTAGATGTGATAAGATATGAGAAAACTGTCACTTCTTATCACGTTTTCAGTTGAACCCGGTCACTTGGTACTCCAAGTGAACGGGTTCGAATCCTACTCACGGTTCCTACTGATTTCGTCTTTGTCACATCACGTTGATGTGATTACGTTGTGCACGTGATCGGAAGTGAAACGTCCCGGAACGATAGCGTAAAACAGCCGACATCTGGAAAGGCGTGTCCCAAGAACTTTAGATCGACATTCCAATCTTATTTCTGGAAATATCTAAGTACACCCTGGCAACACAAACTAGTGCCGAGATCATGTCACTGCGTCACCTAGAACCATCTAGGAACAAGACTCGTTACTAGGCAACGAGAACCCGTCGCTTGGCAACCAATCACGTCAGACTACAGTTTTTTTTCTGCACATAACCCCAGCATCAAATCGTCGTGGATTATAAACCTAATGAGAAATTAACGGGAATTATTATACTGCAAACGTGAACAAAATCGATTCCATCCACAAGTTATTCCATAAAATACAGTTCTTGTGAATTGCTACTAGGAATTGTGCTAAAACTAAAACGTCCAATTATATACAAAATAAGAAATCACCTACTGATAGGTTCGTCACATTTAACGGTCGGCAGGTATCGACCAACACCATAATTGGATGAATTACATAATATTAATTACAATGAACTGTAGCCTAATGCTGCCTTAGCTCAGGCATCATCTGAACCTTTGAGAATAATTTTGAATGTAATTGGTCAAAAACAATTATAATGGTAGCAGGAATAATATTGTGATCCACTGCACTTATATCCACACCAGTCATGGGTGGTGGGTCAGTATCCACCACCAGTCATGGGTGGTGGGTCAGTATCCACCACCAGTCATGGGTGGTGGGTCAGTATCCACACGAGTCATGGGTGGTGGGTCAGTATCCACACCAGTCATGCAGCCCGTCGTCATGGGTGGTGGGTCAGTATCCACAACC